CCAGTTTCATATATGGTGTTTATTAGTTTTGTCAATGTTTTCAAACCACCTTCTCCCAGTAACTTGAGCAAATCTCCAGGTACATCATCATCTCCTGTAGCCTTTCCCTTCCTCATTTCCTTGATAGCTTTTTCCACCTCACTTTGTAAAATATATGGTTCTTTCTCGTCTGTATCTACTTCTTCTTCCGGTTCAACTTCTAAGGTTTCTGGCTGATTAGGTCGATCATATAGTTCTGTAATATAATTTTCCCAAATTTTCAGCACTTGCCTCTGATCTACTATTCTATTCCCCTGGGAGTCTTCGATGCCAACGTTTTGAATCCCATGATTCTCTTTCCATCCTAGTTCTTTTGTCTTCATGTACATCATTCTCTTATGGTTGTCTTTTTGTGGCTTTTTCTTCGGGGACATTTTTGCAAGGGTTATTAAACTGTGTACAGAAGAAATCACAAATAATATGTCTGAATAGAAGTTTGGAAAAATGTGTGATCACAAGCGACACTAAGATGCTACTGGAACGAGTGCTAAACACAGACTGATGTAGCAAGCGCACAATCCGGGACTTCACCTCTCGTCATTCGTTATGCAAAATGTCGCTTGTTAAGCGAGTCATTTTTTTTACAATTTGTTTTGCTCCTTATGCGAATTACTCATTATGAGAGGTGCTCGTTAAGCAAGGTTCCACTGTAGTTCCATCTACTGGCAGTATTAAACTCATATAGTTCCATCTACTGGCAGTATTAAACTCGTATAGTTCCATCTACTGGCAGTATTATACTCATATAGTTCCTTCTACTAGCAGTATTATAAATGTGGTAAAAAAAGCTGAAGCTATCCGTGTAAAAGGCCATGAAGGCCCATGGGTTTGTGAGACACTGAGGCTGCCACATTTTCTAGGCAGTCATCAGCTTGCAGATGGTGGTAAGATTGTCAGCCTTATGCACTGGCTACTCTTTGTCCCCCAGGAAGATTCTTGGTACTCATTTCTGTTAATAGGCTGAGTCAACCCCAGGGCCATAATGTGGCTGTAAAGATTAGGTAAATTGAAAAATCCAGTGACCTCATCAGAATTTGAACCTTCAACCTTCTGGCTTGTAGCAAACCACAGTTAAAATAAGTATGAAAAAAAGTCTGTAAAAATCCTAGATCTTAAAAAGGTCTATAATTTGTGTTATGCATATGTCTTCTGTGCTGGTCATGGTAGCTGAGCGGTCTAAGGCATGTACTATCTTCACTCGCTTGGAAACCAGGATCTTGGGTTCGAATCCCACTCAGGGCATGGATGTTTAGTTTGTGTGTGTGCGTTTTTCTGTGTTTGTGTATAGGTAGAGGCCTTGCAACGAGCTGATCACCTGCCCAAGGAGTCCTACCGAACGTGTGAGAGCTATAAAAAACCGAAGTGAACGGAGAAGTTCATGGAGGTAGGCCTAGGCCCACTGGGGCTGTAGTGCCAAGGGGAAAAAAAATATGTCTTCTTTGCTGTAGAATTATTATAAGACAGGTAAATTTGTCCCTGTGCTTAATTACTTAATCACTACACCATGAAAATATATAGGGGAGTGGAAGTATAGGTGAATCAGTCTTCAACTTGGCACTGGATGGAGGTGAATGGTGAGCTTCATGTCCCAGCTTCTTTACCCCTGGGGAAAGAGCACACATTACCCATTGGGTAGGAGGCTGTGTGGGCCCCAGAGCTGGTCTGGATTCTGTGAAGCAGAGAAAAATCTCTTTCCTCTGCCAGGAAATTGAACCCATCTATCAGCCCATAGCCATTCACTGTACCGACTAAGCTATACCAGCTCAAGGCTAATATGGACAAGAATGAAGAACAGAAATAACATGACAGGTTGTATCACAGATACCCCAGTACTGAATTTCATCAAAAGCTGACCCCAAGGACAGAACATATGACTGAACAGACTGATACAGTTGTCTTGTTATGTTTTGTTCAGTGCACTTTAGAAAATAAAATGTAGAAACATTTTATTTTTACAAAGGCAGTATCTCACAATTTAACAGTGTTATACAGTGTAAAATTCTGGTCTTAGTTATGTTTAGACATACTTAGGTTGTCAATATTAGGGTTAATTTCACCGACCACACAACATGTTTTTATTATTGTCACACTACATGTTTCGACCTCAAGAGGTCATCCTCAGGTGTACAAACACAGTTGCACAGTCACACTCAGTCAGATTCGTTTTCCACTTATTTCGATCCTGTATCCTGTTCAGGCCTACGCTCAATAATATATGTCAAGTTCTTCTTATAAAATACAAGTTAAAATACTATTTGAATGTTAAAATTTAAAATTTTAACTTTTAACATTCAAATAGTATTTTAACTTGTATTTTATAAGAAGAACTTGACATATATTATTGAGCGTAGGCCTGAACAGGATACAGGATCGAAATAAGTGGAAAACGAATCTGACTGAGTGTGACTGTGCAACTGTGTTTGTACACCTGAGGA